AAAGGATTTCTTGGGATCAGCTGTGACAAGTGTGCACAACTCTTGTCAGTCCTTCTGCAGTTGCCTCACCCAAACGGCTTTGGTCTGGGTTGGAGAGGGGGTACCTGGCAGGGCGCAAAGATGATGACAAATTGGGTCTACTTTGCATTGATAACTCAAATTAGAAAACTATCTTGAAATGTTCTTTGAATGCATGTGACTTGTCAGTTCATTACAGTGAAAACCGGTCACTGCCTACACGTTCTGACAAAACACAAACCTGTGAGTTTGAACATGTTTGAATGTTCAAGAGAGATCCAGCCTGGCTGAATGGATTTGAACTTCTGGGCAGAACTGATTTCAAAGAAGGGTTCTTCATCCTTGAAAGCAAAACTCCTTGCAACTCCATCGCACGGGATGTAGAAGTCCAAAACTTCCTCCCCTTGCTGCTCTAGCTGCTTGACATAGACATGGTAGCCGGTGTGTGCTGAATTGGCTGCAAGTCCAACAATCTCTATACCACCCCGCGTGCCTTGCACAAGTTGTCTCAATTTGCTGTCCTTCCTTCCGATGATCAGCAAACACTTGTGTTTTGCATCTGCATAAGCGATTTCGGTGTTCTTCAATGTCAGCTGGCCCGCGAGCAGCCATGACCGCTTCAATGGCGAAAGTTGAATCGTCCTGCGTTGTACAATAGACGTCAACATTCCCTTCTGTTCCAGTCTCTACAGATTTTGCACTAAAACCCAAGCGTTCCAATATCTGAATTATGGCACCGGTGTAATGAACTTCAGCAAGATGCCCTCGCGCCGAAAAAGTCGCTTGCACTTCATTATTTTGAAGAATCACACTTCCGACCACTGTGGAAAAATGCAGGTATGGCAGGGCTCTCAATAGTAAGTCAATGCCAGATGATGAGTTCATGTTTACCTCTACTTCGAGTTCTCGCTTCTTCTCTAGAACATAGCGATAATAAGATGCCAACAAGTGGTTGGAAACACCGTAATTCGCCCCCACCAAACTCCAATCATATGGCACGAACTCTTCATCCCTCCTGCTTTCAGCAACTGGAAGCAAGAGACCATGGATTGCGAGATTGCGACGGTCTTCTGAGTCCAAGTCTCTGGTGGCACCACCACATAAGATCTCAAGAAACTTTTGCGGCGTTGCAAGATCTCCATGTCCGTTGACGCGGATGGAATTCGTGCCAGTTGCAAGGGTTCCCAAAAAACTCTCCTGGTCAATCCAATCTCCCCCTGCCCATGCCAGCTTCACTTCGCCATAGGCTCGTGCGACGGTCCACTTTTTACCGGTACCTTCCTGCTTTTTTCTGCACCCATTCCATGGCTCTCATAAAAATACCTCTGTGTCCACCAGAAAAGCTCAGAAAGAACTCAACGGCAGCCTCCGACAAATGGACATCAGCCTGGGCAAGTTGATTAACAAGAGCTTTGGCATGTGGAATTGGGGGCGTCCACATGTATTTTCCAGAAATTTCGCATGGCGTTGTGAAGGTCGGTCTTTCCACACTTTGCAGTTCAGATGCTGCAGATAATAGCAGAACCATTGGACGCTGTGTCAGATACGGGGGCGTTTTCAGGAACTGCTGGTAGAACGCGGGGCAAGCAAAAAGCAAATTGCATTCATCAAACACCAAGACCTGTTCGTTTTTTCGAGAGCAGCTCGAATGCAATCTGCAAGTCTCTGACTACATCAGCGGGGGAAACCGCTTGCAACAAAGCCTTGTACCAACATTCTGCATCGGTTTCCTTCCCAGGAGCAGGAGGACAAACTTGCAAATACTTGGACGGCTGCTCTCTACAAAGATATTGCGCCAACGTAGACTTGCCGCTAGCCACACCAGCACGTAGAAAAACAACCCTCTCCTCTTGCAATAAAGTTTCAAGCTTTTGAACCGTTTTGTCCAGAGCGATGAAGACATCCGTCTCGAGAATTGCGGGTTCCTTTGCTTTTGGAATTTCACGTTTGCCACTTCTCACTCCTTGTATCTCCGCCTTGTGATCCACCAGCCGCTCCACAAGGTCTGCTTTTCGCCCTGACACCTTCAAGCCGAGCGCTCGCAATATTTCCTTCAGTTGTACATTTGTCAGCTTCTGTAGGTCGTCGCGTGAAAAAAGTACTCGAGGTTCATTCTCCTCGGAAGGTCACCAAGCAGAGCTTATTGGGAACGGAGGAATTACCGGAACTACTTTGCTATGTTTTGGTGTGTAACTTGAAAGGAGCACTTCAAGTCAGCACATTCTTGGGGATGTCAACTAGCCCATCTCCTCGACTGGCTTGATTCCTTGTGGGTCCTGCACCGAACCACATGGAAACAGCATACGATTGCTCTAAAAAACAACCTTCAACCTTTTGCCTGACGTGCACAAAACGCAACACGTCTGTGAGCTGGGTGCAGCGGTTCTTCCCTTTGTATTTGTATGGTCCTTGTTTGGTGCTGCAAGCCGTCCCAAACCGTGTCGGTGACCAGGCTTTTGCAAACAGAAAGATCTGTATGAGCTCACCTCAAGTCACAAATGCGGGATCCAATTCGATTGGCAACAGGCTCTCAAAAAGAATTAAGTTGCAACTCCACTTTGGGATCCACTGTCAACTAAGGGTGAGGCAACAAATCCGGAGACAAGCCACGCTGTAGTCAAGACTGTCAAGGTGGTTTTCTTGTCAGCAGCTTTCAAACAAGCATATGGAAGCATAAACATACGAGCAGCATATTGAAATATTGATAATCAGACATATCACTTGCCTTGTTTCAGTTGCTTTGCTCTCATAGCAGCATGACAGGGCTGCTAATGTAAGGAAGAATCATGACAACAACTGCATACTCTAAGGAGTGAACAAAGCTGTACGCATCAGATTCAATTAATGTGACTTGCAAAACTTTGAAGACCATCTTTCTTGTGTTCAAAACACTTCACAACCTTTGCCATCGTCTTTCTTTCGAATGAATGACTGAACAAAAACCATGTCCATTGAGACCAACTCGCGGTGTCGAGAAAAGCCAAAAGTGCTAAGCCAGGCAAAATGCCGCTACCGTTTCAATCATTAGCTCTAGGCTTTTCAAAAGCCTAGAATCCAAACTGCTGCTTTGCAATGAATTTTGGCGCTCTCATGGGGAGTCCGCATCTTTTGGTTTGAGAAGCGCAGATCAAAAGATGCCTCGCTTACCTTTTCCAAATCTTCTCAACACTCAGCTGCAACACCTTTTCAAACAAACGTTGTTCAGGCCACTGCGCTGCTGAGAATCGCTCGCAGCTGCCTTGGTAGTCAAGCTGCAAACAAAAATGATCCAAGAACTCCCGCCGTGTCAAGAGCAAGCTTCTGCTCCTTTAAACTGATCATCAAGTCGTTTCCGTGAAAAGATTTCCGTTGAGGAAAGACAAGAAAGAGGAAGGTGTGTGAGCGGAGGACCTACCAACAGCCATTGAAGAGTCCGCTTTGCGGATGTATGAAGTCTCACAACGTTGCGAGAGACCAGAAAAAAGAGAAACGTTTTCTTGCGAACACTATTAGAAAAGTGTTTAAATTCTCAATTTATGGTTGACACTCCAAACTTTTCAACGCTGACTTGTCTCCTATGAATTTCAAGCCGAGAGCACAGTTTCGACAGAAAAACATCGTACGACCATCGAACGCTCGTTGAAAAAGGTCCGCTGTTGGTTTCTTGTGGCAGTTGTGATTTGCGGTCAAGACTGCTCTGAAAATGAGCCACTTCAGCCGAAGTTGTTTGCGTGAGCAGAAAGCAGCTCAAAGACTTTGCAGAGATAACATT